TCTTACTCAGCAGATCCAAATGTTGAGACTTGAATTTTTAAAACAACAAGAGACTATCTATAAAGGAGTCAGGTCTCTAAAACAGAGGAGGGGATGCTGTTCTTTAACTCAAATTATACTACAAGGAACAGAGAGATTTATTTGTTGATATAGAGCAGTGGTTCTCAGCCTGTGGGTCGGGACCCCATTTGGGGTTGAATGACCATTTCACGGGGGTCGCCAAACAACGCAGTCTGCCATTTTTTCCCCTTTTCCTTAGTTGTGCTTCTCCCTTTTATTCTACTGGCTTTTGAAAGCCAATAGAATAGACTCTCTTGAATAGAGTCTAATTCTATTGGCTTTCAAAAGCCAATAGGAATTGTCCAGGCTGTCTCTGCCCTACTGAGTCCCATTCTGCAAACGGTGCTGCACCAGTTGAGTAGTCCTTGACTTACAACTGGTTGAATAGTCCTCGACTTACGACCGGTTGGGGGTCGTGGCATTAAAAAGGTTGAGAACCACTGATATAGAGGCTTTGTTATGGAAACCTACTTGGCACAAAAAGAAAGCTAGAATAAGATTTAAGAGTGCGTTCTAAAACTGTACACAATGGGTTTAAAAGGCTTTTTAGACGTGGATTGACTCAAGGTTTAAGATTGGTGAATAAGACGTTAGATTGAATAAAGATTAATTAAATATGTGAACTTAGTATGAAGATGTTTGTTTTTGTATTAATATCTTTGTTGTGGATATAATAATTATTTGGACTGGATTTAAATTTTTACTGAGTGGGTTAAAGGAGTTTTATATAGATATTGATTGATAGATCATAGATTTAAAATAAAGTAGAAATACATTTTTTGGCATAATATTCTTGTCTTTTAGAAAGGATAGTTAATTTGTAATGGAAGGAAAATAAGAGGGATTTTTGATAAAAGAAGAAATGGTATTAATAAATGAGTCATATGTATAATTTTGTTCTTGGATAATTGACTACCCTGTCACCACGTTGTTTCTCAAGCACCTGTTTGTAAAAAGAAAAAAACAATAAAATTTGTCTTTAAAAAATAAATAAATAAATAAAGTTAATCTTTACATGATGCTGGAATATTAAAAAAAAGTAGTACATCCTAGATAAGATGATAGTAGATGTCATCCTAGCTAATAAAACAACTGAAAGATCTCAATGCTGGTGTAGTTGGTGTGGAAACTGAAAAACAATTTTCTCTTGTTTTTGTTATTATGATATTAAATGATATCTCAGTTTATTTCCTTCACATTGAATGAAAAAACTCTGCTAATGGATGTTATCACTTGACCATCAAATAGAATCCCAAGTACAGTGACACGCAGCAAGAATAAAAAGGGAAACGTGAGGTGTCTTGGCTACTAAGAACCTTTATAGCTGTCTTGTGGTCTGATGGTTTGATCTCTCTGAAAAATATGAGAAGCATGACATCTGGAAGAGTTATGGGGAACCTAAAATGACTCGGCAAAAATGAAGTTGATGACCACAGCAAAGATCAAGAAACCAGTGAGTAGCTGGTTCCATGGAAATTCTCTGGATAAGGAAAGGACTGCTCTATTTCCTCCAGATGGCTGCTTCTTCCAAGGAGACTGCATGAGAGTGGTTTTCTGTGGCTTTGAGCGCTGTGAGACCAAGGGATGAGTCATCTTGCTCGCAACTACAGTGGAACCTTTTTAAAGAAGCTAACTTTCTAATAACTTTTGCAAATTGCCTATTAGCCATTTTAAAGCTATTAGAGACCTTTGGAACAATAAGTTTGAAAATCTTCATCAGGTGAATTAAACTTCAACTCTGAGAAGGAGAAAAAAAATTATAAGCTTAAGAACTTAAAGAATCTGAAATAACCAACATAAAGCTAAATAAGATTTTGATCTTAGAAAGTTATAAATGAATTAAGGGTCCAGATAAATTTGGAATATCAAAACTGTTAGAATAAGATTTGGAATTACTTACAAAGAACATGTAGTTTCTCATAAGAAATAGACCTGTTCTGGTGTCTCAGAGATATTACAAAGATAAGCAATTTCATAATTTAAAAATTGACACTAGAGAGAACTAAATATTTTATGAAGAGAAAAATATACAAGCCCATGATCTGAACAATATTTTCCTGATGTACAAAATAAGCTTGTTAAAGTTTGAAGAACTCTGTGGGACAAAGAAGAAATGAAGAGAAATCAAATCCTATGACAATATTTGAATGAACTAAATATTAAGATTGTTAAAAGCAAAAGGAAGAAATACAGAATTGATTTATTTGATCAAGTTTAATGCAAGCTACTTCCAGCAATCCTTTATGGACTTTCTGCTAATACCAGGTGTAAGAAGATTATGTTTTATGAACATATCCATAGATAAGGGATGGGATAAGGCAGTTATAAATCATCACAATAAAGTCTAAATATGTTTATACTTGTTGCAATGAAAGCGGGAGATCACTTTTTTATATATTTCCAAATCAATAAATCCATATCCACACTGAGCAAGTCATTCAAGTGCTCTGCATGCTTTTACAGCACATCCTTATGAAGAAGGGAGCATGTGATGGGGGTGAGGACAAGCATATGCCCCCAATATAAGTTAGGAGATAATGGTAAATTACATCTTCCAGCATCTCCCCTCCACATTGGTTATGCTGGGACATGCACTTCAACAATAGCTGTAAACTTTTATTTTCTCACAGCCTAATTTAGTTGGTTAAGATTTTGCAATGGTTGTTGTTGAGCTTGTAATTCAATTCCAGTTAATTAATTTTGACCTCTTCATCTGGATAGAAAGTTCGTCATTGCCAGAAACACCACTTGCATTGCTAATAGTGCAACTAGTCTTTTGAAGACATCTCAAAAACATCACTTGAAGAAGGCTGATTATACTGTAAGCTGACCATCTGTGTAGTGATTTTGAACTTTAAAAACTTTAACTTTAAAAGAAAATGCTGGGATATTGGTATATCAGTATTATGTATCTGAATGATATGACTGCTTGAAAAGTGTTCTGTACAAATGTTAGCTATTTATAAATGGACTAGAAAACCAGTCATCTGAATTGCCTAGGCTTCTTGATCCCCAACATTTTTATTAGTTTAATCATTGTTTCTTTTCCTTGAGAACACTTACATATTGGGACCATCTGCCCTTCTGAATCTTTCAAAGCATATTAAAGCCAAATTCTAATCACTTTCACATCTGCTAGCTTGTTGAAATTAGGCAAAGGACACCATGAACAAATTAGTGCTCCATACAGTATAAAGTCTGGCATTCAATCACTGTCCTATTCTCTGAACTGCTTCACTCAAAATAGATTTTTTTAAAATGTTACCATTCTCCATTGTATGCTTTTGTCTTACTATTTGCCTGAAATGCTGAGAAATTGATATAAGGGGAATATGTTTCTATTTTATTCTACTTCTATATAGAACCATGAAGACTAGTGAAGCCACTGAAATGTATGTTAGCCTGTAGCAACCAGCCACTTCTAACAATTGCCCAAACTATAGTACTTTGTTACTATGGTAGCAGTAGTGGGAGAATGTGACTGAGACTGATCTGGGCTGTTTTTGTTTTTATTTAGAAACGTGAAACTTTTCCCACAGTAAAAAGTAGCTCAGAAAAAACAAGCAGGGGGTCAAATTGGAGTTCTGCTTTCCTTTTCTATTTGGCAGGCAACCAGAAACTGCTGCTTAGGTCTAAACTAAATTTTGGGGGTGGGGGGAGGCTTTAATCAATGGATTAAATTTAGGAGTTAGACAATGGGATGAAGTGAGAGTTTCTACTAATGTGAAAAATGGACTGCTGGGAGCAAAATGCTGCAGGATACCGTAAATGCTAATTTTGTTATTGCTTCAAATGTAATCCAGAAAGTCAAAAATAGATCCAGTTCTCAAACTATAACTCTTGGGAAATTATAGATGTTTGAAGCACATTTTAAACTAATGCAGAATCTTTATGTGGGAGTACAATAGATCCAAGCTGGGAATTTTTTGATTTACAAGATGGCCACTGAAAATTAGAATATTTGAGTTAGATTTTTTTTTTCTTAATAAAGCTAATGTCAGATCATGAATATATGACACCACATAAATTGATAGTGTCACCTCCTGCTGAAGTGATTTGCATTTTAGAATGATTTGGAATAAGAGGCAACACAGACACGTTCTGGCACCCTAAGCTAGTACATTTGCATCTCATTATCCATATAATTTCAATATGTATATGTTTATTTTTCCACTGAAAGATGACTAAACATATTCGCAGGCAAACACATACATCAAAAAGGACCAAGTGAGACTATTCTTAGTAAGCAAAGATTGGAAGCAGAATCTATGAAGCAGAGTAGGCAAGGGATGGGATTTTCTGAGATTTCCAAAGACTTTTGGAAATAGGTTTGCCATTATTTTGAGTGTAGTATGTTTATTTTATGTACTTTTTCCTCAAAATGTTTGGAAATTGCACCATTATTTTGGTTTGCATTGGGCTCTGGGAGCCGCACAGGAAAACCTGGAGGGCTGCTTTTGATTCTGGAGTTGTTGTTGCCTATCTTTGTCCTATATTAAGTCTTTAATCCCATGAATAATGACTAGGGCAATGTTTCTCAACTGCAGCAGTTTTTAAGATGTCTGGGCCTTTTGAGAACTGAAGTAAACTCATCTTAAAATTGCTGAGGTTGAGAAATATTAGACTATGCTGGATTTCTGAATAAAGATGCACAGGATTGAATTAACTATCATTTCCCTTCTCTCTTTCCATTCCCTCTTTGCCCCCCCCCCCAAATCTTTGATATTACCATTTTAAGGCTTGCTGGTAATTGGACAGATGTTGGACAATAACTTCATTTCATTACTGACATACTTTACATTCCAACATTCCATGTATGTGATGGCAGTAGAACAGAGACCCCTGGATTTTAAAATGCTGAGTGCACATTTTTTTCCTTCTGTCTCTTGGTAAAGCTTTTCAAATACTGAAGCATCTCAATTATGTCACATGTGGAAGAAACACTGAACCACAGGCTGAAAGGAAGTTCAATAGTTTCCTGTGAAAAATGTTGCTGAACATTTATAGCAAAGCTTTTGTTCTTGTGACTAAGAAGCTCAGAGACTTTGTGAAAATGCTTCCTTTATCACCTTTATGATAAACTGGTATTTTTTGTTTAATATTAGCTGCATGTTTAATTCTCTTTCAAATTATCAGCCTACTCCAAATGCTTTTTAAGTTGAAAAACAGGAAATGAATGTTTGAAATAAATATATTTTACAATTGTCTTTTGTTCATACTCTTCTTATTATTGTTTATTTTATTTTTCAGATTCTAACTGAAGATGCTTTTGATTAAGTGTCTCTAGAAGACGAACTATGAATACAAAAGTGAAATATATAAATTGAGCAAAACTCACAATAAGAGCAAAGAATAGAGCAAGAGCGTCCATTCCCACCATTAATTTCATGTACAGTGACATTTGCACAAGTGGCTTGTCTCCTGTACTCCATTCATCATGCTTCAGATCACAAGGTTCCCATGGCCGAACATGGGATTCCCAAGGATTTTTTGATAAAGGGCTTGGTGATACTGCCCAAGTTGATCAATAAACTCTTGGGAAAGGCAAAGATGGGGAGCACCCCTGCTGACTCTGTGCTAAGCTATAGTTTAATGTACAAAGAGTAAGACTAACAATGTATTTTGCACTTGTTTCTCTCCCTCTCCTACTGTGCAGCTGCAAAGTGGCTTGAAGTCTGAACTTCTATATTTCATTGACTACAGTTTCATATAAAATATAAAACACAAATTGTGGATCTTATTTATTTTATTAAAAACAAGCCATCTTTTTCTCTGCAGTTTGAATCTGGCTTGTTTGGTAATTATAATTGATATTAAGCATTTTTTTAATGTTTAGATATAACTCTGATCTGCAGGTGAACTTTCAAATTTCTCTGTGTGACCACCTTGGAAATGGGAAAATCATTTTATTTTTGTAATGAAAAAGTAGATAATTCTTTTTTTTAAAAAAATATCCACATTCCTAAACAATGTTCCTCAACACAGGTACAAAAAAAAAATTGGAAGTCATTTTTCAGTATTTTTTCCACTTGTCACTTTCTAATTTTTCTAGGGTTTTTTTTTTTGATCCCTTACTGCTTCTTTTAATCTTCTTTCTTTTTGTTAATTTATATTTTATCTTTTTTTGAAACTTAATGTTTGTTTTTTTAAAAAAGCATCAATATTCCTACCTCATCCCGAGAAAAAAATTTTACGTCCATTTCTTCAAAACAGCACATATCAATAGTCATAAACTTTTCATTTGGCAGGGACTGTATCAGTAATGTCCTCAATTTTCTAGTAGACTTTTCTCATTGAAAAACATATCCATTTTCATAAGTGCATATTCTGGTCTTATTTCTATTCAAATTTCTTCTTTTTATTGCTTTAAATTCTTACAAAAATATATTGCAAAGCTACAAAGATATAGTAAAAACATTAATATATACATATATAATGATTAGGAACAAAATACAAAACAATAAGCCATACAGAAAAATATTTAAATTGTTTGAAAACAACAGCAGTCATACAATCATTAAACTAGGTCAAATCTATTCTATCAGTAGTCATGAAGACCTATATAGCTTTTTGTGCGGGAATAATAAGTTACTCTGAATCTTCTGATTTCCTGGTTTTGGTTCTTAACTAATCTAACAGCCACACTTTAAGCCTACTCAGAGTCGGCTGGCTAATCATGAGTTCACAGAAATCGCAATGGTAATATGGAAAGCAAAAGTACTTCCTCAGAGGTAAGTATGCAACACAAAAATACCTAAGGTCTTTCTTTTACCCGCCGGGGTGGTTTCGGATGAGGGCATGATTTGGAAGAACCAGTCTGTTGTTTCAATTCAGAAGGGGGTGGGGGAGACATGCTTTTTTGAGGTGGTGGATTAGAGCCAGAAGAAACAGGAATCTCAGGAAGTTTCCTTTGTTTCATATGATTTTTAATCTGGAGTTGCAGGGCGTACTCCTCAGCTGCAATAAGGACAAACAACAAAAACTCTGAGTAATACTGATTGACCTAACTGAAGAACAGCAGTACAAAATCAGTTCTGGATAGCATGAATTTTATGCAGAATATCACAAGGGTGAAGTAACATAGGATTATTGTCAAGTACTCAATTTCTAATACCAATTCAAATTTGGACTAAGATAGACAGTCTCTGAAATGAAGATTGCCATGTCAAAGTTTCCAATCCAGCACCAAGATTTAAATCATCCTTTCCCAACCTGATAATATTACATGTGCTTACTGTAGCCAGCATCAAAATGAAGAATTGTAATCCAATATATTTGGAGGCTACTGGTTGGGGGAAATTTGCATAATAATAGTAATAATAATGATGATGATGATGATGATGAAGAAGATGATGTCAGAAGGGACCTTGGAGGTCATCGAATCCAACCCCCTGCTCAGGCAGGAACCCTACACCATTTGAGACAAATGGCTGTCCAGTCTCTTTTTAAAAACTTCCAGTGTTGGAGCATTCACCACTTCTGGAGGCAGCTTGTTCCATTGGTTAATTGTTCTAACTGTCAGGAAATTAGTTCTAAGTTACTTCTCTCCCTGATCAGTTTCCATCCATTGCTTCTCGTCCTGCCTTCAGATGCCTTGGAGAATAGCTTGACACCCTCTTCTTTGTGGCAGCCCCTGAGATATTGGAACACTGCTATCATGCCCCCCCCCCTCGTCCTTCTCTTCGTTAAACTAGACATACCCAATTCCAGCAACCGTTCCTTATATGTTTTAGCCTCCAGACCTCTAATCATCTTTGTTGCTCTTTTCACTAGGCTGCCTTTTTTCTCTTATCATCTCCAGTCATATGTACTTGATATCACTTTAAAAAAAAAAATTTCAGGACACATGGAGTCTCCAAAAGCCCTGGGTAAATCATTATCATCATCATCCACTTTAAAAAGTAAACATGGGTCAGAAATAAAGAATATCAATTAATTAAAATATACAAAAGTACAAAATAGATTACTGTACAAAAATACACAAATACAAAATAGGTCTTTATCATAAAAAACATTAAAAAGCTAGATCAAAGACCTATTAACAAAATATATGTAAATAAATCAGATAAAATTAAACAATATAATATAAAAGGCAGGGAAGTCTACTACCAAGGCTAGTCAGAAGCCATAGAGACCAATCAGAGGATTACTCCTATTCCATAAAATCAAACTAAAGAAATTGATAAACAAGAAAGTCATCAGTCATCCAAAGATAAAAAGTCAATTCCAAACTAATGGGACTAATTCTGAAAGACTCTCAGCCTTGACTTTCCTGTTGGAGTAGTGGGGATTGCCAAAAGAGCCCAAAGAAGTTGACTGAGTAGATTTTGTTGGGTTGTACCTGCTCAACATTGAAGATAGGGAGAGGTACCATACTGTATTACCCCAGAGACTGAAAGAGATTTTCTAGTGGTATCTATACCTAATTAGAAGCCAGGACAGGATTGTGAAGTTTATGAGAAAAAAAATGGCAATATTAAATTTTATTGTGTAACTTGACAGGAGAAATTTATGAAATACATGACTTAAGCATAATCATGCTAACCCAAGTTTAATACTATTTAAAGGTTAATTTAACAAGATCAAATCTAGTTTTTGTCACTCTGTGCTAATCTTTGGAATATGTCCCATGGCAGACCATTTAAGACTCAGTGGGGTTTTCTAAAAATTTGTGCTTGGTCAGGGAAAAGAAAAAAAACATGCATCCTCAGCACATTTTAATGATTTTCATCTTTGAGGAACTAATACAATTTTCAATCACAGATCACATATTTTATTTTTTAATGTAGAAACCAGGCTAAAAAAAATCAAAAGAAAATCACAGGCTTTTATAAAAATCAGGCTTTTTTGGACACATTAAGTAAAATGCTGTATTTTCTGTGTTCCCTTTGTCCCCTTCCTTCATGGGCTAGGCCTGAACATTAATTTTCATTAAAATATATCTAAAATATATATAATTTCAAAATGACTAATACATTTAGCCTGATTTCTTGTTAGAAAGAGAGAATCTTGTTCAATTTTAAATGGAAGGAATGCCACTTACCTTCCCTTTCATATCTTTTTGCTTTCTTCCTTCTGATGCAGTAAATAACCAGAGCCAAAAAGATGATCATTATGACTACACTTCCCATGATGATCAGGATGAAGAAAATAAGTCCCAAATTAAGGGAATCTAAAACACAGAAAAACTCATAAGAAAATATTGTATGTGGATACTTATACATTCATGCACATAGAGAAGGGGAAGGAAGCATATACAAAGGAGACAAAAACAGTCTATTATTTTTTCTGCCCTCCTAACATGATAAAAATAAGGGAAAAAACACAAAGCTTTTATTCACGGCTTCCTTAAAAATGGTTTCTTGAATATATCACAGTAAGCATAAACAATCAAATCACAATTTCATTTAGCATTTATTCATGTAACTGATTGGCTCTGTCACAATTACAGGTACTGTATATATTTAGATATATGGAATATCTCACAATTGATTTGATTCATGTTAAAAATTACAAATTACAAACCACTCAGTCTGAATTTACACATTAAGCCAGAAACTAAACAAACTATATTATGGTTTATGCATGTAATATTCCAGCCTATACAGTCTAACATTCAGAAGTGTGTTATGAAACTAAGTTAATACCTCCTGCCGGACATGTTATTTGTTTCTCAGTATGATTCTTCTCAGAATTAATATCAATCTCACATCTGAATTTTCCAGAAAGGACTTTTAATTGCAATGTCAGCTTCCATGTCACATTTTCATATATTGGCTGTTCAAAGATTTTAATTTCTTTAGTATCTTGAAACAATTTAAATCTGGGTTTTGGTTCTTCAGAAGCTTGCACCTCACATGCCAATGTTCTTTGGGAACAAAGCTCAGTAAGTTTTGGTTGAAGATCTGAAAGAAAAGAAATAGGCTCTGATCAATATAATTCTGGTTTAAATACACTATTATTTTAAAAAATCCAAGAATTTCAAAAGTTTAAAGTTGCTAAGTTTGTAGACCCCTGAGCTAGCTGGGCGACCCTACTTCCTCTCTCCCTTCTGAGCTCTTTCTACAGTGTAATAAGAATGCACACACACCCCAATCCCTTCACTGTACCCTTAAAGACACAGGAATAAGTGCAAAGCAAGAAAGGCTCACAAACTAAAGAAACACATAACATCCAGATTTTTTTTCCCTTTAAGCTGCCTCAAGCGTGTCACGTGTCACAACGTTGCAACCCGAGACTGAAAGGGTCCGGCAATTGTGAAAAGCTTTAGCTTTAAATTAAGCCTGTTTACCTTCAAAGAAAACTTTCTAAAAGCCATAGACAGATTCAATTAAAGGGGGTAAAACTACCATATTTTTCCATGTATAAAACACTAGTTTTTCCTGCAAACACCCTGTTCAAAAATTAGGTGCGTTTTATACAAATGCAGCCTCTTATATACCGAAAAATAATGGTAACCTCCACAGCCCAGATCATGCCTGTGTGAGTTGCCATGCCACCTGGTGCAGGTGTCAAGCCCCTGTGGGCTTGCCACTAAAGGGAGGGGGAGGGGGCAAGATTGTTGGCTGGCCGAACTTCCAGATTTGCCAGCTCAGCTGTTCAGTGCTCCGTTGAACAGCTGATCGGCGTGGATAAACCCACATGCCAGAGCGCCTTATACAAGGGTGCATCTTATAGATGGAAAAATATAGTAATTACATTTGTTTAAAGGGGTTAAACCTTTCCCTGTTGTATTTTTTCCCTTTCCTGCCCAAACCACCTCCTTTTATAGCCTCTCCTCTCCTCCCCTCCCTTTTTCTTCAGTTCACCTCCAGTTCAGAGCTGCTTCCGGAAGCGCCAATCAGCTGGAGCCAATCAGCTGGAGCCCTGCCAGCTCCTGGGGCTTCTGCCAAGCCCCAGTCCTGCAGTGCAACTGCCTCTCCCTCAGGCTTGGGTCACTTTGGCTCATTCCCCTCCCCCGCTACACTTCTCTAGGACAGTCAAGTACCACCTGTGATGTGGCAAAATACCATAGGTGGCACGTGTACCATGGTTGAAAAGCCCTGATATAGAGTAGAGTAAAATACATTGTAATAAAATATAATACATAGATTCATGAATGAGTTCCATCTGACTCATTTTCTTTTATCTAAAAATAATTTGCCTATGTGCAGCCTGCTTGAGGGATTTTAATCTTTTGTTTTCACTGTTGTCCCACTGTAGAACAATATTCTGTATATGATATCTTTTTGGATATTCTGACATTCTGCAACAAGGTTATGCATTGTTTTAATTCTTTTTTTGGGGGGGGGGATCGTATCCATGTACTTGTGCTGCATGATTATTTTTTGTCCCAAGGCAGGAGAGGAAATTGTTGGTTCTCCGGATGTTGCTAAACTATAAAGCCTGGCTTTTTTATTTGCCAAGCTATCTGGAATTGTTGGAAGTTGTTATTCAACAACATCTAGAAAGCTACCGGTTTCTACCCCTACTTTATAATGTTCCATACCTTTTCATTCCCATACAACATCTAACATCAACATGAGACTGTTAGGAAATATCATTTTATGGTTTCAATACTTCAACAAAGGTCAAGTGAGGCTTTCATTTCTGATCCTCTGGAAAATTTTACTAGTTTTTCTCAAATTGCAGGCACTTGCCTACTAACTGAACTATGGTATTGTGATCATGTTATGTCAATGTTGAATGTTTTCCATTGGCAGACAGGTTTTCTTGGCTTACTCCGATCTATTGGCATTTGTGGAGACTTGGGAATCTAAGACATTCTGAGGGCTGTCTATCTTTTGAATGCTTACCACTTTTTAAAAATTTACAGTAAAGACCATATGGGAATATCACTACCCACATAAATCCAGCTATCGCCAATCCAAAGTACCTGTTTATAGAAGGAGAAAAGAAGTAAAACAAAGGTGCTCACAGGTTGAATGGTAGATATATAGTATTCAAAAACTCACCATCAACTTGCAAAGTAATTAATCCATCAAATAAATGTATGCCATCTTCCTCAAATGCTTCTAATTTGTAATTTCCAGCATCTATTTTCTTCAATCTATTTATTTTCAGACTTCCATTAAGAAATAACTGATATTTGTTTGGTTCTGGTTGATTTTTTGTTATATCAGTATCATTATCTATATACTCTGCAATAAATGCAGAGTCCTTTGTCCACCTTAAATGAGGTGGTCTGTAAGTGTGTCTGGGTCCGGAAAGAATAATTTGGCTTCCCAAATGAACGTGAACCTTGTCATTCATGGATACAGAACCTACAAAAAATGTACAAATTTTGTTCTTAAATTATAAATGGAAAAAATATCTGCTTGCTGCTTTTTAAAATTCATTATTTTCCTACATATCTTATGCAAGATTTAATCTTCCAAAGAAATTAACCTCAGTGTTAAACACATTACCTTTATCTAAAGTAATTTGTAGATATAACAATGGTAAGTATAGAAAGTGTTTGGTCCCTATAGAAGCAATTATATTAAAATCGGTGGTGTTTTGTGTTTTTCTGGACAAGTTTAATAATAATAATAATAATAATAATAATAATAATAATAATAATAATAATAATAATAATAACAACTGAGCATCTAGAACAGCACAAAAACAACAGAATAAGGCTGCCTGCATTGAAGCTTGTTCCAAAGAAACAGCTAGCACAAGCATTAAAAGATGCAAATACTGCAATATCAAGTATAAGCACCAATTCACTGCAAGAAACAAACCAACTAATGTACAGCAAAGCTGCAGTTATAACTGAATACCTGGGATGCAAAATCAACAAAGAAGAAAAACAAACAAACAGTGCACCACAAAAATGGAAGGTTAGACTAGAAAATAAGATCAGCAAGTTAAGATCACATGCAAGCAAGCTAGAACAGATGAAAGAAAAGAAGCTGAAGAACAAGAAGACCAAAGAATACCTAATCAAGAAATACCACTTAGAAACAAGGAAGATCAAGGAAGCACTGGAAATAATAAAGCAGCAAATAACAACTATAGCCAGGAAAATAAGTAGATACGAAGGCAGAACCTCCAATTTCAATCCAATCGGAAATGTTTCTACCAATCCATCAATGGAGAAACTGCAATGAATCAGTCAGTACCTGACAAGGAAGAAACTGTCATCCTCCCTCAGAGCCTGAATCTGCGGAGGAAAATGAGCTGGAACGGGACCTTATAGAGGTCGGAGGAGAGATGTCTGTGGTTTCAGAGGAATGTGGGAAAGAGCAGGCTGAGTGGGACAGAAGGAACAGGAGAGACAGAGTTCAGGCAATGAGCAAGGGCCACCCCCACCTGATCCTAGAGCATGGAGAGTGGAGAGAAGGAGGGAACAACGTAGGCAGGCTCAACTACTCAGGAGGAGAGTGTCCCGCCCCTCTCCACAAGGCACACCTGGAGATTTAAGAAGATGCTGTGAGGAGAGGCATTTGTCAGGAACAAATGCTAATTCCTTGGAGTTTTGGGTGTGATGTCTTGTTCTGTGATGTCTGCTTGGAAACTCGGAAACTCTGACCATTGGACTGGCTGACAAGGTTGCTTGAATAAAGATCTTGGACTGTATTTTGGCTTCCCTTTTGAATCTGCTCAGGCAAGAGTGTATTTACACAGAGTTGTTAGGTTTATGATGTATATGTCATTCCTTATTATCATTGTGGCCTTGAATACATTCCTCTCCTAATCAGACTATATGTGAAACTCCTTGCAGCCAGAGGCGGCTCAAGATGTGTGTGTCTTCCTGTGTTTGGTGGCTTGCCAACAACTTTCAAATTGCTAACTAGTGTGGTAGCTGATGCAGTACAACAGCATCTAGTTGAAACAATTTCTTTCCACCCGAGCAGAAAGGAAACCACCCCAATAGCAGAGGAACAAAAGATCAACTCCTAATAGACAAAATGGTCTTGGAAAACTGCAAGAAAAGGAAGAGCAACCTCAATATGGCATGGATTGACTACAAAAAGTCATTTGACTCTCTGTCACATGACTGGATAATCAAGTGCCTAGAAATAACAGGAGTCAGTAAAAACATCAGAAAATTTGTGCAAAGATCGATGGTACAATGTAAGACACAGTTGTAGGTCAATGGTGATTGATTAGGAGAGATTAATATCAAGAGAGGAATATTTCAAGGAGATTCATTATCACCACTACTATTTGTTATTGCACTGTTTCCTCTGTCAACAATACTGAATAACTCAGGACATGGCTATCAAACATCAAAAACATCTGCCAGACTATCCCACCTCCTTTACATGGATGATCTGCAGCTGTATGGGAAAACATCAGCTGAAATAGAATCGCTGCTCAACACTGTCCATATATATAGCCAAGATATTGTAATGGAGTTTGGCTTGGACAAATGTGCCACACTTACTATCAAACAAGGAAAAATAGTGAAAACTGAAGGAATCAAGATGCCCCACAAAAATAACATTAAGAGTCTGGATAAGGAAGATTACTACAAATATTTGGGTATCTTTCAAGCTGACAACATCAAGCACACTGAAGTCAAGAAAAAGATTAGAGGTGAATACATGAAGAGAGTGAAAATCTTAAAATCCAAACTCAATGGAGGAAATATCCTGAAGACAATCAACACCTGGGCAATTCCAGTCATTAGATACACAGCTGGAATAGTGGACTGGACTCAAGCAGAACTAAAAGCAATGGATAGGAACACCAGAAAAATAATGACAATGAATCATGCCTTTCATCCACACAGTGACATTGACATTGACAGACTCTATCTACCAAGGCAAAAAGATAGGCATGGAATGCTGCAAGTACATCAGATGGTTGAAGAAGAAAAAATGGAAGAATATTTGAAGGACAATGACGAAGATGCACTGAAATTAGTATATCAGGAAGGCTTACTGACTATTGGAGAGACCACACTGGCCTACAAGAAAGACCAAATGAAGAACAGAATAGAGGCATGGGAAGACAAAGCACTACATGGCCAGTACATTAAAAAAATAGCTGGGAAAGCAGATAATAATAAAACCTGGCAATGGCTAAGAGCAGGAAAATTGAAGAAAGAGACCGAGAGACTAATTCTGGCTGCACAAGACCAAGCCTTAAGGACAAATGCATACAAAGTCAAAATTGAGAAGACAGCAAGACAGTAAGTGCCACCTATGCAAAGAAGCTGAAGAAACAGTGGACCACCTGGTAAGCTGCTGCAAGAAGATCACACAGACTGACTACAAGCAGCAGCATGACAAAGTAGCAACAATGGTACATTGGAAGATCTGCAAGAAATATAATTTGCCTGTAAGCAAGAACTGGTGGGATCATAAAATAGAGAAAGTCATAGAAAATGATAAAATTAAACTGCTCTGGGACTTCAGAATTCAAACAGACAAGCACCTGCAACATAACACCCCAGACTTAGCAATTGTCAATAAGAAAGATAAAAAAGTCTGGATAGTGGACGTGGCAGTGACTGGAGACAGCAGAATAGATGAGAAAGAACCGGAGAAGATAACAAAATACAAAGACCTACAAATAGAAATAGAAAAACTGTGGCAAAGGCAAGCAAGGGTAGTACCAATAGTAATAGGTGCCTTGTGTGCAATCCCAAAACAACTGGAGCACCACTTGAATACCATTGGCATTGACAAATTCACCATTAGTCAATTGCAAAAGGCGGCCTTACTAGGAACTGCTTCCATCCTGCGACAATATCTATAATACCATCAAACATCCACATCTGCCTATCCAAGGTCCTTAGTAAGGACTTGATAGGTAGACAAAAATGCCAAATCCAGTCTGAACATCTGGCTGACTGTGCGATGAATAATAATAATAATAAAAATATTGGAAGGGATCTTGGAGGTCATCTAGTCCAACTCCCTGCTCAGGCAGGAAACCATATACCATTTCAGATAATGATTGGCTTCCAGAAGAGCCTGTTATAACAGAATAACAGAATTGGAATGAATCTTGGAGGCCTTCTAGCCCAAACCCTTGCTCAAACAGGAAACCCTATACCATTTCAAATTGTTGTCTAATCTCTTCTTTAAAAACCCCAGTGTTAGCCACAACCTCTGAAGGCAAGTCATTCCACTGATTAATTGTTCTCACTGTCAGAAAATTTCTCCTTAGTTCTATGTTGTTTCTCTCCTTGATTAGTTTCCGTCCATTGCTTCTTATGTTCATGTGCCAACATGCACATGTACAGTAGAATTTTACTTAAAAAAATTAACTTAGCCAAACCAACTTCCCTTTTACTCACATATATACCCAGTTAAAGATAACATCTTCCCTGAAGGAACTGTAACTACTATATATAAATATAGTAAATTGTTTTCTCTGGCAACTATACAGAAACATACTTTCTTTTTCAGAATATTTTCTTTAACTTTCCAAGTTAGTCTAGTGCACTGAGATTTTTGATGGTCTCCATCCAAATATTAATCATATCTAACACATTTTTTAATTGTTTGCTATATTAGATGTTGGTTTAAGTAGAGGCATGGGTCTTTAAAATCCCTTTGCTTCAATTTTCCTTTTTTTTTCTTTCTTTCTTTTTCCTTTCTTGAACATATAATACACCAATTTTGTAAAAATTCTGATATTTTGTAAAAACATATGATAAACTCAAGTCACTTTTTACTCTTGGTGACTACACGAATTATATTCATGCACTTTTATTGGTGACATTTTGGGGATTAGTTTTCCATTTGCCTTTTCCCCAAGGTTCTAAAAGAATGACTGGCCAAAGTCATTCAGCTGACATTCTAAGGCAGGACTAGAATTTAGAATTTTAAATGTAATCCTCAGGACTACCTCATCAGTGCTATTGAAACTGAGAAAGATGTCAAGCAAGGCTGCATATTGGCCCAGTTCTTATTCAACTCCAGGGTGCGTAATCTCCTCAATACAAACTTTCACTCATCCAGTCCTGAAATTATAAGACATTTCTCTGTTCTACTCTATGCTGATAATGCAGATTATCAGCATTAAAAAACATCTATTGGCCTTAGAAGGGCATTGAGAGACTAACATGGTATTGCAAGGAAGAAAACCAAAATCAGAAAACCAAAATCATGGCATTTGCCAAAAGACCCAAGAACCACTCCTGGAGGATAGATGGCCTCCAGTTTCAAATACCTGAAATAATCTTTCATTCTGCCAACAGTAGGAAACTTCATGGGAATTATGTGCAGAGAGGCGCTCATCTGCCCTCCTTAAATTTTAAGACAAGAAGAGGCCACTATACACCCACAGCATTCAAACTATTGAAAGCTGAGCAAATAGTACAACTTCTTTATGGTGCCCAGCTGAGTCCCATTTTCAATTCTACACCATTAGAACTTGTTCAATCCAATTTTTTAATATTGGCACTTTAAGTCCCAAAAGGTATATCTGATAGCATCACGAGACTTGGAGACAGGTCTCATGAAAATGGAGGCTAGAATATGGGTGATCATACTCAACTATTGACTCAAACTATTCATTTTCTCCTTAGTTTTGCTCCATTAATTGTTTTAATTCACATGGCAAAAGACAGGGGCAACTAAAATCTCATCTTTGGCCTTCTGTCCAGGTTGTCTCTTCAGCATGGATATGATCAGCCCAAAAGCACTCATTAAATAGCCTGTAGTAGACATAGAGCAATAATTAGACCTAGCCAGGCCCCAACTTTTATTGCCAGTGAATCCAACAGGTATTTTGTCTCCCTTATGACATATTTAATTCACACTAAAGTACCTAACCATCAGAGGGCCTATACTCTGGAACAGCATTATGCCATCTCCTCAGCTATCTGTGAAGGCTGGAACAGGAAAATTCCCTACCCAGAAGGGCAATGCTCCTGGGATTCTGGACACAGAGAACATGACCTTGGGAGATGACAAAGAGATGCTACCAAAGGACTGGTGAAATAAAAGGCAGCATAATTCACAACTGGATCCTGGCCAGGACAAGAAGTTCAAAAGAGACCCTCCATAGTTTCTCAGGTTGTAAAGGAGAAAAAGGTGGAATTGTACTTTCAAGCAAAATGTTATCAATCTAGCTTTATAATAAAGTAGAAGTAGGTCATCCGGTTGCCATTACTAATTGGTTTATCTCATGTGGCCAATACATGGGACACACTGGCCTTAATTTTTTAAAAAAGGGATATGATTGGCCAACACAATGTTACTTTTTCAAAGGCCCTGAAGATCTCAGGTTGTTTCACAGCTGATCAAATTGCTTTTTGATGGTGTTTGTAGCCCTTGAGGGATGGGGGGGGGGAGTTTTAAACTGTGGTGTTTTTATTGCTGTATGTCCCTGAAGTCATCATGTGTGAATTGGATGGCCACATAAATTTATTTAATAAATAAATAAAAATATGCTATAGAAAACTGGGCTCTCTCTAAATGTTTTGTTCCATGTGGATTTGAGTTATTTCCATGGATTTACTATTTATTTTATTTGGCTAAAGCAATTTCTGTGGGAAGAATTATGTTGAAAAATCAGAATATAGATTGTCACAACAGAAATTGAGCCCCCAATTTTAACCATAAATTGTAATAGGTACTGTTATGTCCTGGGCCTGCTGAGTGACTCAGCAAGTGCAGGAAGCTGCAGAGAGGCCCGAGCAGACCACGTGGATACCCAGGACCAGACAGGCTGTCTCCAGCCTTTTGCGCATGCGCAAGGCGGGAGAATCCATTGCGTTGATTGGTTGACACTGTCCCTGAAAAGAGGTATAAAAGGAATCTGCGCCATTTTGTATTGGTTCTGTTGGAGAGTAAATAAAGAGAAGATTGTTGTTACTCCTGCCTCGTCTCAATGCCTTTACATTGAAAACAGAACAGGTACTGTATAAAGCGGGTCACCAAGTGACCAGACATGATTTTATGACCTTTTTTTAAATTAAGTTTTATTCATTTATAACATAAAATGTGAAAATACAAAAGCAAATAGTAGGGGACAACAGTTGAAAAAGGGAAAACAAAAAAGGTGTGAAGAAAGGTGGGGGAGAAAAAAAGGCATTGACTTCCAACTCTCTCTGTTGCAGTAAAACCAGACATTAAAATCAAATCTCAACCTTTTATGACTCTTTTTTGTGGCTGTGATTAAACAAACATGTTGTCGTAAAGCAAATGTCACAGTTGATAACTGAAAGCCATAGTCATTAAGTGAATCCATTGTTCACTACAGGGGGGGATTTTGCCAGAAAGTGGAAATAAACATTGGTTTCTGGTAAAAATATCAAAAATTGCAGTCATGTGACCATGGGGTGCTGCAAATAGTAAATGCGAGTGGTTAACAAGCATTTAAAATGCAGTCATATGACCATGGCAGGTCCCCAGACATCAGAATTTTGTAAGTAGCTTTTTTGGATACTTGTATGGTTAAATGGTTGCTAAGCAACTGGTCATAAGCACAGACTACCTGTATTCTCATAGCCATTTCACAAAGTCCCCAAAATCATTACAAATGCTTTGAGGAATTCAAAAAAAGCCTTTGGATTAGTTCATGGTCTTTCTTAGTCTAGCATTCCGTTTCTCATAAATGCCCAATTTGCCATTTAGTTGACTACAGGTAGTCCTTGACTTATGACCATAATTGAGCCCAAAATTTCTGTTGCTAAGTGAAACATTTGTCAAGTGAGGTTTGTCCCATTTTACGATCTTTCTTGCTACATTTGGTAAATGAATCACTGCAGTTATTAAGTTAGTAATATAGTTGTTAAGTGAATCTGGCTTCCCCATTGACTTTGCTTGTCAGAAGGTCTCAAAAAGGGGATCACATGATCCCTGGACACTGCAACCATCATAAGTGTGAACCAGTTGTCAAGCATCTGAATCCTGATCACATGACCATGGAGATGTTACAATGGCTGTAAGTTTGAAAAACGGTCATAAGTCCAATTTAATAAAATCCTTTTTATAACTACTTTTGTTTTTTTAGCCTCCTGAATAGTTTAGTATTTTCTACAAACTGCTTACCCTTATCTTTAATGAGTAGATTAAAAATATTGGTCTAAACACAGATCCTTGAAGAAGTCTACTTCTTTCTTCTCTTCACTGAGAAAACTGCCCCTTCTGAGCTGTGATCTTTAGTTTAAGCTGTGCAATAGGGTTAGGAGGAGGAGGAGAAGGAAAAGCTAGTAACACATGTTCCCCTCACTTCCAGTTGTGATTAAACTGAACGAAACACAAAGATAATTGGACCTGTGGATATGTTTACGATTTCTACTGAACTGTAAATTTTGCTCCACACAATTTACAATTAAAAAGGAACATTCAGAAATGAAAAGAACATTTTTGACTGCAGAAACATAATATTAAAAAGGTTTCTTCTTTCTCATGTTAATATTTTGTTGCCCAGAGATTTAAGGCAGCTAATTTATTTATTTAGAGTATGGAGATGGCACAATTAGCCAAGAGACTACAATATTAGTGTATAGTGGTTATTTGGCTGCCAAAGAGTTAAGGCAGCTTTTCTCAGCCTACTGCCAGTCAGATGCACTGGATTTTTAGTCCTTTATTATCTTAGTTTAAATTCCAAAGTATCAGAAAGGTATTACATTTGGGAAGAAGTTTTTTTTAAGTTAAAGCAAATTCTGCAGGAATTTTCATTACAAGGAGAAAAAAATTCCTAATTTGTTTTGCTCATAAAATTCTGAATGGCAGTTATATTTTTCATTGCACCACTTCAGGGTAGTCCAAAGGTCTATCAACAATTATTTCATATTTGACATTTTCTCAAACATTTCTCCCAACTTCAACAGTCCATTATAGATAATCATAATCCATTTTTGGTTCAAACCTATTTAATTTGGGGACTGTTAGCTCCAGGTGAAATCTACCCACCCAGTATAGGCCAGTTGGGATTCAGCAGTGTGGCATATATAACCAAAGGATTAGAGGAACAAGAGCCTCTAACTAGTGAGACCCTTGTTCCCCTAATCTTTGGGTTGCTGAGTTCAAGATAGCTCCTAACTACTAATATTTAGGAAAGCTGTAAAAGCTACATTTCCTTGACAGTAAAGATGTTAAATAAATGGTTTCTATTTTATTTCCATTGGGGTTCAGTATGATATTTAATATTTTCCAGATAATAAAATCCTATCTGAAAAGAGTACTGTACAGTAATTTTTATAGAAGTGTTCTATTTTTTATTATCTATCACAAATATAAATTTTAAGAAAGCAATTCAGCTGATTCTAAACTATTTCAGATTTATTATTTTTTAGTCTTTGCATAACAATACTATTTTCCTCTGATCACTTTTTTGTAAATGTTAGTATTAAACTGCTGAGGGTAATAAGTATTCACAATACTGCATCATACAGTATGTTCCATAACTTCTAGAATGTCCATAGCTGACTTTTATAAACTTCAATAAAATTTTACAAAACTCAAACTCTACTAAATCCTAGCAGACTTATTTCCAATCTTAATAGCTGTAAATCTAGAGTAGTGATTAAGATGTTAGACTTGGACCAAGAGGATCCAGGTTTAATCCAGTTTCAGTTGCAGCGATTAATTGGAAGATTTTGAAACTATATTTTTTTCTCAGCCCAATGTTCGAGAGACTGACCTAAGGACATTCATTGACTTTTCACTGACACCTGGGTCCAGGTCCAACATCTTAGCCACTGAATAATCGCCTTTCAATTTCAATTTTTTTTTATTTTAAAAAATTGTTTTGTGAATCAAAATACTAAACTGTAATCACTTAACAGTGTTCTTCTCATTTTCAAAGAAATTCAAAGAATATTGTAACTTTAAACTCACCTTCCAAGCTGAACAAGATAATTAGGAATGTAATTAGGAGTGGGTTGCCCAAATTCATGTTCAAGGCTGTATTTATCTAGGGAGGCAAGGAAGTATATTCTTGTGACAAAGCCTGCAGTTTCTGACACACATATACCACATCATTCATTCTCTCTCTCTCTCTCTCTCTCTCTCTCTCTCTCTCTCTCTCTCCCCCTCCTATTACCTACCTGCACTTTGCAGCTTTTCTTTCTCTAACTTGAAGAAATGAAAATGGCAGAGCCAGTTGTGGTGGGTATCAGTATTTTTATAAGCAGCTGTTGAAAAACTGATGTTTTCTTTTCCTTTCCTTTCAAAATCTTTATTTCCTTTTATGATTTCAAAGAAAAAATGAACAAGGTTTATTGGTAAGTATCAATATGCAACTCTGGAATGTTACATAATTCATCAATTTTCTATAAGGGTCACATATATATTTCTGTCAAATTATTAAAATCATGATCCAACACATCAAAGGAGAGAGGGTTTGATTTAACATTAAGTAGATGCTTTATGCTGAACAAATTTTTGCTCTTCAGCAAAATGTATAAATTAAAAAAAGTTTATTGTATATGTCAATATGTAAGCAAATAGCCTTGAATTGTATGATGTGACAATTGTAGATTTGCTGCTTAATTCAATAAAATAATATATGACAAAAGCAAAATATGCAGTAAAATAAATTATTGCTTAGCAAATTATTCAATTTTTGCATAGGAAGTACGTCAATTCTTTGTGATGTGTTCTTATTTAAAATATTGATGAAGATATTGATAAGAAATGGTTGTGGCCAGATGAGATGTGCTGGTTTGGGACAAAAATTTGTTGTTAGTGAATCCACATGAAACAAATACTACATAAATTTTCAGCTATAAGAAGGATGGATCTGAAAAAATGTGAAATGTGCTGAATACCAAAACAGTTGTATTTAATAGGAAAAATGCCAGTTATGCTAGATAATTTTAAAAAAAATGAGAGAAAGAGATGAATAAATATACTTGGTAGAATATTGACTGAAGACAGGAAAATGGATGCAAATGCAAATAAGAACAAAAAGGAAATGAGCTGGATATGATTTGTTGTAAAAATGAATTTTAATGAGAGAAGCAAAAAAACCTGCATATGATGGTGTGCCTTTAATTATTTTGTTATAGGAAAGTGAGAGTTAGAATTGTCATGCAGAAGATAAAAAGAAATTGAATTACATGGGAATGACCTGTATGATAAATACAGCTAAAATAAAGAGTAGATTTTGCACTGAATACAAAAGTAAGTTATCACAAAAAAAGAAAGAGCCCACCAATAATAGGAGTAGCACTAGAATATACAATGAGAGCAAATTCCACTCCCTAGTAGCACTGATGATGTTATCTAATTTGGTAATGAAATGTCTGCAAGAAAACAACCAAGCTCAGAAAGCCTCAAGAACACACACACATCCCATGATAACTGTTGTTGCTGTGTGTAACCCATGTCTATGGAGTTTCTCAGTAATCCAGGTCATAGTTATTCCAAAGATGCAACTATGAAAGTTTCTTATTTTTCTTTGAAGACATTTTGCTTCTCATCTAAGAAGCTTCTTCAGCTCTGACTGGATGGTGAGGAATGGAAAGATTTATACTTTCAACAGTTCCAAGAAGGCTTCACACCCCTTTGCACTACTCAAATCCTCCAGGAACTCACTAAAAGAATGCAAATGAACAGCTATCTGCAGGAATATAAATCTTTCCATTCCCCATCATCCAGTCAGATCTGAAGAAACTTCTTGGATGAAAAGCAAAATGTCTTCAAAGAAAAATAAGAAATTCCAATTGCCTCATGAAAAAGCATCTTTGGGATATGTGTAATCCATGTAAGAGCAGATTTGCTATGGCTATCAATTAGCTATTTCCAGGTACTATCAGCCACAAAGTCAAAACTGTACTCCTTGGTCACTCATTGCAGCAATACTCAAGACAGAGTTTATTCAAATTATCATGACCTCCCATTTCATTCTGCACCAGTCCTCTGATATTTTTATCTATCAAATGAGGTATTTTGGGATAAACGTTTAGCACTTTTTTGGATGCTAGTGCTGTGTTCAGAAATAGCACAAGTGACATGTCACAGGTACAAAGGAAGGATTGTATCAATCCAGAGCACTGGAACTTTTTATAAAAACTCCTTTATAAAAACTCCTTTGCTAGTAAACATGAAAGGGAAGGAATGATTAAAAATTATCCAAATCAGCGACGAATGCAGATATTGCTCTGAAGGCATGAGGGTAGCTATTCCAACTGTAGGAGACCAGCTATCATCTTAGGTTGAGAAGGACGTTACAAGGAAGGCCACATTACTTTCCTCATAACTGTATTCATTTTTATCTTTCTCCATATGGAGATGAAGATGGCAATAGATTTTTTTTTTAAAGAATAATTTCAGAGAACAATGGGCAAATAAACTACTTGCTCACAACTTGGCCTCAGTTTTGTCAATGGCATAATATTACACACCAGATTTCATGCCATTGCTCAGTGTTAGACTTTGGAGAAAAAGCTTGTTACTTTAAAGAATGTCATGAATCAGTGTCAAACAGATTAGAATCTATTAATGCTAAATAAGAGTGGAATAACCTGCCTTCTGAAACACTGGAGCTCTTCAAGAAAAGATTGGACAGAAATTTCTCCAAGATGGTATGAAGATTTCTATATTGGGCAGTGAGTTCGACTAGTTGATCTCCAAGTCCCTTCCACTTCTGTAATTCTATAGAAATATGAGCATGCATAAGAAAAGGTTAACCTTATGTGATCAAACGATAAAACCAAGGCTGGCATTGATGTAGGGAAGTGGGATCTTTTATTTTGGGCAAGAATTGGGCAAGAAGTTTCTTTCTTCTAGCATTGTGAACTATGCAAGATTGCATTTCCCAAAATGTCTAGTGAGATTTTTTTTCACTGACTTTCAGTGGAAAATAAAATAAAAGAGGCATGTTCAGCCCTATATGCTATTTAAAAAGATGAAACAAGATGCACAAGATGAAAAAGCACTAAAAAAACATTCCTTGCCCAGCCACTTCCTGTGAATTAATTTCAGTATTGCCTTGCTCTTCTTGTCATTACCTGTTAGTTTTTGTTTTTCAATGTAACCCTTCTCTCACAAAATTTTTACATACATCTTTGAACAGAGATAGATCTCCATTCAGTCACTGTTGACATACAGCCAATTACTCTGTTTGCTTATTTGACATATTAGTGAGTGGAACCTGGTGTAGAGGAGAGCAGAAGAAAGGAAGAAGGTGAGACAGAAAGAAAGAGGTAAGACCAGTTATAATAAATGTGGTTCCAGCTCTTACCACGTGCATATTTTAGTTGCAGAAGGATTTTGTATCTTTGCAAACTGCCTTGCTATTGTAATATAAGTAAAACACTATTTATATCTGGAGGAAAGCTGTATTATTCAGGTTCCATCAGGTTACTCCCGAAGTTACAATTATCCTGCTGGAAAAGGAAGTTGGCAATCATGTCTATATAATTTTTGGAACTGCTTCAGACAATAGCATTATGCAACAAAAGTCTGTATTCACAGAGCTGTGTCCTTTGTGCAATTCATACTCCATTGGGTTGGAGAGTTACTTTAGCAATCCTTTGGCTGGGAGTTAAAGAGACCCCAGCTATTTTTTTTTAACCACTGCATTCTCCACTATATTATGAGGGAGCTCAAAGTTTACATCATCTTTATAAAAATGAGTTACTAAAACATCAGTGTGGGTAAGAAATCAGGATAATAGTTCACAATTCTCCCAGTTATTATAAACCAAGCAGTTGAATTGCAGAAAGTGGAAGTAAGTAGTTAGAAATAATGTGTATAATTCAGTGGTGGGATTCAAATATGTGAACAGCCGGTTCTCTGTGTGGATGCCGCTTCCGGAAGTCCATTCTGGGCCTGGGCAACAAAAAATTAGCTATCGGTTCTGCCGAAGTGGTGCGAATTGGCTGAATCCCACCACAGGTACCATTACAATAAGTAACAGGTAGTAGCAATTAGCCTAATATTGCAAGTTTTCACAGGTAGGAAAAAAGTGACTGGAAATAAAGTGAAATATATGCATTTAGGCTGCACAAATTTAGGATAGGTAACTGTCCCAAAGGTGGTTTTTCAAAAGGCAACTTTCTAGGAAAAAGCACCTTTGGGACAACTATGACCTAAATGACTGAAAATTTCCAGAAACAGATAGGTAACTCTGACCAATGAGAAAACTGCATATTCCGTCTTGTGGTTTTAATAGATACAAGGCAAATATGAGTCAGAAGCATGATAAAATAGCTAAAAATGTAGTTATCAAGATCCAGGTGTTGTTGAGTTTTGGTTATCATTCTACTCTGCTTTATCTCAACATAAATGCAGTGCGTAGTTGCAGAGTTGTTCTCCTGATAACCATAAAGGGCTTCTCAAAATGAACAAATTCTGTGAATCTCAGCAGTCTTTCACTTACAAGAACAGGAAGGTAGTAAAAAACAACATTCTAGTGTTTCCACATGCATAGTGGAAACAAAACTAAAGGTTGTTTTTTTATTTTCATAAAGTATATCAAAAGTGTAAAACAAAATCAAGATTTTAAAAATGTGCAGTTGCAAAACAACATTCTATGGAAAAACTCTGTAAGCCTTGCAATAGCAAACTATTTTTGTGAAAGTTGAATCTTCGTGACTGAACTTTTTTTCTTTTTAGTTTGAAATGTTTCGCTGCTAATCCAACTACCTTCTTCAGTCTGAACCTCTTTTACCTAGGTTATTCTCAATGCAGAATGTCCATCCCAGACAATGATAATTAGTTATTATTTTAGCCTCTGTAATTCAGTGTATGAGCTACACTAGCTCATACCTTAGCAGGCTAAATCACCTGCAAATGATAACCTCTGTGGCATTTCAAATGCTGCTGAATACAAATCTCAGCATCTTCCCCATTGGCTAAACTGCTTGGGACCATTGAGAGTTGCATTTAATGGAACAGCATCTAGAGTGCCACAGATTGCCTATTCCTGGTATAAGTACATTGGGCAAAAAAACAAATTAGCCTTAAGTATTATTTTCTTTCCTCCTTCCTTTTTTCTTTCTTTCTCCCCATTTTATCTTTACAACAATCTTATAGGACAGTTAGGCTGAAAGATAGACAAGGCTACCACTGAATAGTTGCCATTCCGTACTTAGTATTCTTTTCTGTTAAAGAAGAATCCTCTTCTGTCTGAAACCTTTTCCCATGGTATCCCTCCAACCTTGGGTGAACAAAGCCTAAAGAAGCATGACATTGCTATTCCCAGTGCTGACCTTTATCCAGCCTGTATTGCCTCTGCTCCTAGGCACAGTCTGATTTTTCTCCAGCCGAGATTTTTCTTTTTCTTCTTATGACCCCTTAGTTCCTTTATTCGGGTGGAGTCAGGGTGACCGAATGGAGCCGAGCATTTACTGGCTGGATGCACTTCCTGACACTTACATGGAGTCCACAGCAGATACTTTGTCTTTTCACTCTGATAGAGAAATGTGTGCCATTGCCTATGATTGAACTCTTAACCTTCTGAGTGGGACGTGAGTGTCTTCACCTCTAGGCCACTGTGCCACTCATGCTCCAGCCTAGATAATGAGCAAGAAAGTAAAGCAGATTTTACACAAGCGGAGGTTGCCTCTGGGCTGTGTAGGAATAATGAAATAAATTCTACTTCAATACCAGAACAATTAAGAATAACATAACTCTGACTTATTCTTGGGCAAGATGAAGGCAATGTCATAGAGACACAAAAAGAGCAACATACATGCTGTGATTAGGCATTTGTTGAGAAAGCCCTACACTTTCCTTATTGGTAGTCCATCTGCTTTGTGGTATTTTTTTGTATTATTTGCTTTGAAATGGATCTTGCAGAAAGGCTGGATAAAACAAAGGATAAGGGCCAATAATCTAGTTCCATATTTACTAAGCTCTAAGCTGGCTTCTAATGGATTAAGCATTTTGAAAGTGACAAAGCAGTTTGCATTCCAAACTTGCTCAGTTTTTTAATTCGCTCCTCTTGTATTAATCTTTTTTACCCAAAATATTACTTGCTAACGAATGGTTATTTTCCCAAAGTGTGTTGTTGTTTTCAGCATCTTTGCAGGAGTGTGGTAGTTAGTAATGGCTGATGTAATTCATAATAATGGAATTAAAGAAGTCAAGGTCATTGTAGAAATGTTCCGTAAGTCTTCTTTGAATTTAGGCTTCATGTTTACAGAAATATTTATCTTTTCCTAGTTAAATTTATAAAACTACATGTAAGTTATGTAATATTTACAATGAGGCATCATTTCAATTTTTTACACTTTAATTATGCTTCTCCTCAACTTGGCACTTTTCAACTATAACTCCCAACAGCCTGATGAACATCAATATTTGGCATGCTGGTTGGGTTAGTGAGAATTGTAGACTAGCACAACTGCTTTGTATACCAATAATTCTGAGCTTTGTGGAGATATTTTGATTTTCACATTTTTATCCATCCTTTATTTTTAGGTAGAACCAGAGTACTGGTTTTTTGTTTTTGTTTTTTTTGTTTTTTTGCTCTATCATTGTGGCATTTAGCTGACAGGGGAGAGGAAGTTTCCAAATTACACATTTTTGCACTGAGGTTTCAATGACATGATAGAGACTTATCAAATAACATATGCTAGCCTATTCCGGAAGAATTAATTCAAGACATTGCTTGTCTGGAACTTGTTTATAAACATTATTTCTTTTCCTAAAATTATCAAACAATATGGTTCCATTAGATTCTCTCTCTCTCTCTCTCTCTCTCTCTCTCTCTCTCCCTCCCTCCCTCCCTCCCTCTCCCTCCCTCCCTCCCTCCCTCTCTCCCTCCCTCCCTCTCCTTCTCCCCCCCTCTCCCCCCTGCAGCAAGTAATTTGGGTAGAGAAGAAAGAAGCAGAAGGAGAATGGAGGAAGAAAACTGCCCTCTCTTTTGTGAGGTCCTTGAAAAAGTAACAGGTCCTGGAAACAACCAACTTTCAATGCTGAAGTTTGCCCTTTGCTGTCACCTGGTGGCATCATTGCCAAATTGCACAGCTATGCAATGCTTGATATAGCTGCCTGAATGCATGTTAGTATAGAACAGGGGTGTCAACCTTCCAACGTCACGTGACATGTCGCACTGTATCGTGACTTTTTTTCCATTGCCGGCAATGGGGTGGGTGTGGTTTCGGCATGATGCATCCGGTTGATAGGCCGGCAGTTTGACACTCCTGGTATAGAAGATTTCAACCTTCCTGCTTTAAGAGTCAGCTCTTGGACAGTTTGCAAATTAATGGTCTCCATGCACATATGGATTTGTCTTGGGTAAACTTTGCATGATTTGGAGATTGAGATTGCCATCACTATGTTGCCATGGCCAAATTATACCCCGATCTAGATGTGACCGGTAGCTACTCACAACCTCCACAGGATGTGCTTTATTTAAACCATTGACTCTAAGTAGCTAATGGATTGCAGATCAATCTAGTGCTTGGTGAGTTACTGGCAATAACAGTCAAGCAGACCACTGGATACAATTGCCCCTAGCACCCTCCTTCTGTGGGCTGATCCCATCTGGTATCTTGGTTCATTAACATACTTCAGAAAATGAAGTATTGGAAATGACACCTGAAATGCTACTGGAAAAATATGAAAAATAATTCAATCATAACTTACTCATATTCCGACATTTTCTATGGCAATAAGGAATGCAAAAGATTCTCACTTCTCTTTTATTGCATTGATGGGCTATGTCCAGAGGCTTATTTAAAGTTAGAAATTCCCTTTTAGGAAGCAATCATTATTGAATTTTCCTATATGGCTTAGTGGCTAATTTGCACAGGCTTTATTGAACAGATAAGGTCACTCAGATTCACCAAAGTCTTGAGCTTTCATGGACATCGTCTTTAACATTGACTAGAGTACTGTTCTATAATGTTATTTGGGACTCCTTCTAGCTTGGGAATGCTGGGGAAATGGATAGAGAATTGTCTAGAGTGTTTTCCAATGGGAGGTTTGAGACTAGCTCATGATTATGTAAAGCCCCCAAATTCAGAAATGGCCCTTTGAGAAATTTGGAGAGAGGAGTTGCTCGGACATTACCCCTGAATTGTATCTGAAGAGGAATGAGAGGGAAGAAAGGAGAGGAGAGAGAAAAGAGTAAAGGAGGGGAGAAGGAAGTAGGAAGATTGGAGGAGAAGAGAGAAGTGGTGAAGAAAAGAGAAGAGGAGAGGACGAAGAGGGAAGTAGAGAAGAGAAGAAAGGGAGAAAGAAGGTAGAGAAGAAGGAGTGTGGATACAGAGAAAGGGAAAATGGGCAAGCAACACCAAAAGTCATGTGTATGTATTTATTTCATTTTATTAAAAGTATCTTATATATGAATGAAAAAAGAATGTATGTTAACATCTGATAAGTATCACGGTATATGTATGGGGGAGAGTTTGGAAAAATAAAAAATAATTTAAAAAAAGAAAAAAAAAAGAAATGGCCCTTTCAGAATGGGGCACAGGTCAGCCTTCTTCAAGATTATGGGCAGTTTCACTTCCCATAAAAAGATACTGACAGTGACCTGGACCTAAGTCCTTACTTCCACCATGAAGAAGCCAGAACAAGCAGAAGAAAGAGGGCATGCCTACATTTTTCCAAAGTCCCATACCTGTACCTACAATTATACACAAACAATCACCTGACTTCATTTTCAAAGTAAAAAGCGATAAAGCAGGACAATTTTAAACATTATGAAGCTGTGATAGAATAGTCTAATTTAGTCTAATTTAACACTGGTACAATTAATAATAACATAAGGCTGTTTCATGGGGCCAAGACTGAAGATTAATCATGGTACAATCAGAGTTTTATTCACTGTGCTTAAGTACATTTAGCTTCTGATTCATTTATTGAGCAGGCAGTACAATTCTGCCAGTTAAAGAGAAGCAAGCAAAGGATTAAATATCAGTATGTCCCCTTGTTTTAAAATAGAAATTAGGTGCCGGTGTATTTAACAATGAAAGTTAGTGTAGAGTATTTGTTAAGGTGTTGGACTAGGACTGAAAGGACCCCAATTCAAGTTCATCATCAGCCCCTGGGTAATATTGAGACTCTTTTAACTCAACCTACTGTCTAATGCTTGTGGGGAAAGAATTGGTGAAAGGACTTTTATATATGTGCTGCCCTGAATTTCCAGATGGAAGACAGAATTTAAAGTTAACACATACAGTAACAGGGAATAAGCAGGAATAGGATTGTTGTCTATACTTAATTCCCAGGATTTTTTCTCTTCTCTGGGAAATGGAATAGTAAAATTAGACTGGCAAGAGAACCAGCTTTGAATTGCTGGAGGATAAAGGTCACTCCTGGTTTAGAGAAATGCCAAGATTGCTGAATATGCTGCCAGGTAAGAATTTTAGCCCACGTTGAAGAATAAGCAGGTAATAGAAAGAATCCAATTCCTCATTCTAGGTATATAAAACAATCTCTTTATTAATGAGGGACAGCATCATAAAAAAATCACCACAGTGTGAATACAGCTCAAAGCATTACAGAAGAATGGTTTTTCAGACATTGTATTATTGCAATGTAAAGGGGAAAAAAAATTAAGCAAAGCGGCAAGCTCTAGCTGTTCAACAGAATAGACAAAGCTACCTCATGCCTGGGTTTTCCTTGCATCTTCTCTAGTGTGGTAAAGATGCTCATTCAAAAAGCAGGAAGCATCTGTTTTATTGTCCAAGGGGCTTCTCTAGATATGGCTATCACCAGATTACTATCATTTTGATTTGTTACTTTTTCCTAATTGCTATTTTTATTGTATAATCCCCAATCAGCCTGGTCAAATCTACCTTAAAGCATTTAGGAAGATGAAAAAGAAAATCCTGCAACTATATGCAAGTGGTACAAAATACTTTACAATCAAGGTAACTATTATTATATGCCATGTTTATAAACCACATTTCTCTGAAAAAGAAAAAGCAAGGTTTGGATGGCAATAAAGTAGAAGAAAAAAACAGCTTTTTCTCCACCTCTTGTTTATTATTCTTAAAACCTTTCAGAGTACAATACTTTAAAGGGCATTTATAATAGATGCCAAAGCTGTATTTGTCATCACCAAATTGTTTGCTTGTTTTCTTTTTTTTAAGTGCACTGGATACACCTACAACCAGTTCATATTATAGTATACACTCCTGCAAAGTGTATTTATTTTTTTTATAGCAGGCTAAGCAGTTGGAAAAATTTTCTTCCCCAAAAGAAAGAGTTTTAAGCCTTCGTTTCAGTTTTTCATTAAATTAAGGTCTATGTCATTTAAAAAATAAAAGTTTTATTCTTTTTTTCCCTATGGCAAGGTCAGCATAAAATTGTTGCTGATTTAGACCAATAGCCAAGCATGTTCAGCATCATAGTTCCCAAAATGGTTGAGCTGATGCTTACAGGAAATACACAAGACAATATGGGAGCAAACACTTCTCCTGGTTTTGTCCTTCAGAAAATGGAAAATGGTTTTAGAAGCATGAAGCACTGGCCTTTTAAGCAGTTTGTAGCTACTGTAATTAGAAGTCCTATCTTATATAAACATGTTCACAAAGTTCCACAATAGGGCACCTTCTATAAACATTTCTCACATTCAACAAGATTCACAAGACAGATAAACTTAAAAGATATCTGTTCTTCATTTAAATAAAGATGAGCAAAATTATGAAAATATTGCTGAAAAACAGTCGGCTTAAAATGATAACACCATCTGTAAAAATGGTGATGAGGGAAATGCTCTGTTATTCTCTATCTGTTACTCACACGTTAAGAGCGAGAGTATGTATAGAAAAATACTTTTGCCTAATTCTCTTCAAATGTCCAAGAGAAATATATGATCAGAATCCTCACTCTCAGCATTACAAAACTGTGGTGAAAGGTTTTTTGTTCATAATACAGATAATTTTTGAAAGTTATGGGCTGAGGCAAATCTCTGGATCCCAAACACTGGTACATGGTCTACTGTTGAAACAGACCACTTTCCAGAAGACCCAAAATGTCATAGGCAGTTTGAGAACATCCTGTGTAACATAGCTATAGGAGTCTGCTGCTAACTCCTGGAACCAGTTTTGGGTCATGTAAACACTTAGCACAGAAGTAAATAGACATTATGTTTAATCACAAAAATCTGCAACAACTAAACATTTCAGCAAGGAAGCTTAAAACTTGCTCTAGAATTTTCTACAGAATTCTTGATTGTGATTTCAGTGTAAAAAGAGCTAGAATTCCTCAAAAGAATTTCGTCGTTTGTATGTCTACTTAGGTTGAACCAGGAATCTTGGGGATTGAAGGACAAATGTTGACTTGGAAGAGAAATTATTCCAGTTTGGGGGAAAGGGCATATGATATTTAGATTTCTCATATTTAATTCTATAAATGCCCTTAGAAGTAGGAACACAGCAGAAAACCACATTTGGGCTAATTTTAAATTATTTGTAGGCTTATGCTATTAGCAGGTAAGTAATTTATAAAGGACATTATATTATTCTGAGAAAGCTTGGAATGAAGAAGACCCAGTTCCCCGGACCTGGAGAAGGCAAAAGGAGGACATCAAGCATCAATGGGATCAGGAAAACAGTCATCTATAACTTCCTGAGCTGCGTTGTCAATTGTATCATCTTGGAACTCTGTTTCTGTCCCAACTTTCTCCTCTCTTCTGCATTCTGTCTTCACCTCGGGTCCCACTGAAGGATTTGGATCTTCCTTATGGTCTGGTTTGAAACTTTCACAGATTTGTGCACCTTTAAAAGAATGTCAGGAAAATTCATAAAGTATATAATTTAGTATTGTGTACATTTGCTTAAATCTTTAATCAAATCTTCACGTCACCTTGCTTTTCATTCTTGTAATGACACTAACATTAAAATGTAAGAACTGAGTTCTTGAACTTAAATGTGCTTATTTCTGGTGAAGCTGTTTATGGATTAGTTAAAGTCCATTTCTCTGAGGAAGTCTTCAGGAAATCATAGGAGATAACTGTTATTATTAACAAGGAAAATCTATATCAGTTTTACTTGACCTGATGTTGTGAGTAAGCATTTGATAAGTTTTGGCAAGTTTGCTTTATACCAACAATTGTTTAAAACAATACAGGTACATATAGAACAATCACTACATAGAAACTGTTCCAAGATTTCTTATTGCACTTGTAATAAGTGTAAAAGATTGGCTTACTTCAAAGGATATTGGAAAGAGATGCATTTCCATGGTTCATTACCATATCTCTTCTCAATGCCAAAGTAGACAATAGGGAAAACAGCTTTTAGAAACAACACAGGTACATTTAGCTTTCTGTTATATAATAACAACATTATGTCTCTGTACTTACTAGTATTGGCGGTACTATCAATAAGGACATCTGTAACTTCACAATGGTCTCCATTAGGAGGAGGATTTGGCCTTTCACTAGAAATGGCAGACATGGTTATGCCCTCATCCTTTTCATCTTCTGTAGAAAAGCACAATCAGAACCTGAAAACTGCAATTCATATGTGTCCTTTCATTCTTAATGTGGAACAGAGAGACGCTTCAGTCCTATATCCTACTTACAGTATATGGAAAGAAGCCTTAATGAGTTTTATGACAGCCATATTGTTGTCTTATTTATTTTATTTACTAAATTTGTTTACTGACCATCTCTCTGCAAGGCAACTCTGGGGGCTTACAACATCAAGATATATGTATGTATTTTATATATCAGGGTTTAATGAACCTTTGAGGGATGCTTTGAGCTGATGAAGGTTCAAATGAATATCCTCTGAAGCTGTTTTGTGAAGCAAAATAGTTTCTTTGCTTCTAAAAGTGAAACAGTGTGACCATACTCTTACATATCACTCTGTTTCAGAGACAATCTCTGCTTTTCCCATAATATTATGCTACAACACAGAGGAGAGCTGAGATTTTTTTTCCCTCTATTTTTGGCAAATGGTCCTGAGTATTCTTGGACGAGCTATGAGAATGCTTGTTCTCCAGCATGATTGGATGGAGAATCCACGGATGGGTTGTCTTAATCTATCTGCTCCAATTAGACTAAGTCTGAATCTTAGTACCGCCCCTGCTGTGCCAATTGCACCCCAGTTTTAGACTTAGTCTCTTTGCTCTAAAGATATGTTTTTTCTTCGCTCCTGGAGCAGAAGACTGCAGTAATTTCTCATTCACTTTGATTTAGACTAATTATTTCATTATTGATTATTTTATATATTTTAACCTGTTTTTCCAATTATCTGGAGTTCATTCCTCCTCAAGCCTGGCTGCCCGGCTGGGCTGACAGGCTCGGCACCTTCTACGTGCCCTTCCCTTTCAACTCAATTTAGAACTTTCACTTCGTGAATTAAACAGCTTTAAACAGCCGTTTTCACGATCCCCACCAGCCAGCTCTTCGTCGGAGGGCTCCGAATTTCAAACTGCCGCCCAGACGATCTCCCTCACAGTCAGCTGTTCGTCGGAGGATCCGTTTCACGAGACAAGCCTCGCTGACTTCCCAGGACTCCGGAGACGAGGGTAAGCTTACCGATCGTCAGGGGGGATCCGCAAGCGGCGACGCATGTCGTCAGGCCTGGAGGGATCATTTTAAGGTCCCTCGGCCACAGCAGACGTTATGAGCAAGGGGGGATCTGCAAACGAGCACAGAACTCACTCAGGCCTGGAGGCCTTATTTAGAGACCTCGGCCGAGTATTACAGCAAACTGCCGGCTATTTCAACAGCGCTGCCTAGCTGATCGTCTCATTTACCCTCAGCCGCATTAGGAGCCCAAGCGTTTCTTCGGAATGAGGGCTCATTGCAACTGAGGCTTCAGACCTCGCAGGCCTCCTCAACGGTCATTTTGGCGCACAGATGGTTGCAGCTGCCATTTTGAGGCAGCTTCGGCCGCCATTTTGAACAGCCACTGAGGTCTAACTGCCTGCAGGAACATTCCAAACGGCAGTTTTTGACGAGTTTGCAGCTGCGGCCGCCTCTTCCAGACTATTTGGCAACTTCTTTGATGAAGATCACCCTTTGGTGAATGCTGTGAAGGACACTCTGTTTATAATACACAGCTTGGTAAGTGGTCTGAGGAGGTAAACAACATGTGTTCAGCAGCATTCACCAAAGATAATGTCTTCCACAAAAATATCTGCTAAGAGCCATGGTGGTATAGTGGTTAGAATGCAGTATTGCAGGCTAACTCGCTGCTCGCTCCAGGAGTTCGATTCTGAGTGGCCTTGACTCAGCCTTCCATCCTTCGGAGGTCAGTAAAATGGGGACCCAGATTGCTGAGGGCAATTTGGTGACTCCGTAAACTGCTTAGAGAGGGTTATAAAGCACTGTGAAGCAGTATATAAGTCTAACTGCTATTGCTATTGCTAGTTATTTGCCAATTTGTCAAAGGATAATAATAAATAATAAATAAATGAAAAAACTCTTTCCCTCTATTTTTCTTTTCTGATTTTGTTCGTGATTTTGTTTAAATCCTTGTTTTCAAGTAAGCATACATGGGGCTCCTTGTGAAACACTACAACAAAGAGAAAATGCATTACTTACCCACAGGGACCCGAACGAAGTTGTGTTTGGTTTTCATGCAGCAGCATGTGATCAATGAGGCTGTGATAGCTAGCAAAACTGCTCCACCTCCACAGGCTGTCAGGACATACAGGAAGAGTGGATGCTGCAGCAGATCCCCTGCTAGAAAGAAAGAGATGGCCTTCAGCAGTTGAAAAAGTAGAAGAAATGAGTGCTTGTTTTCTAAACATCCAAACTAGAACTGATGTCAAATGCATCTTGACACTAAAAAAGGCAGAGTTTTATTTTTTTAGTGTTTAAATATATACATCGAAATATTACAAAATGAAAAAGATTCACAAAACATATGTCTCTTATGCCTTAAATAAAAATTAGTGCTATGTACCTATTCATGCCAAGTTCCACAACACTGAGATCTATTTGTTTATTTATTTTATTTTTCACATTTCTGAACTGGCCATCTCCCTCAAAGAGGGACTCTGAGTGATGAAAGAAGGACTTTGGGTGGTGATTTACAATTAGTGGCCAGAATAAAACATATGAATATACACAGAACTAGTTTTTTATTAGTTTTCCAAAAGGAATTCTGGACTGTAAAATACTTTTCTGGAAAAAGAGAGGACTCAGAATGTAGTCAAATCTATCAATTTCTTCTTAAATAGATGCTATTATATTCAAAACAAGTTTTTTTATTAAATTTAAATAAATTAAACAAAATTATATATAACAGGCAGACAACAAATATATATTTGATATAATATAATCATGTGTTATAGCAACTCCCTTTATTTCACGTATTAATTTTATACTGGAAACTCACTGCTTTTTATAGATGTTTCTGCATTTTTCATTATATGTGAAATGTTTGGAAACCAATTAGATAATAATGGACATGAATATTGCTTTTGTAGTTGCCTTCCTGCTGACCTATAATCATCTGGAAGTGAGCCAGCAAACAAATTAAATAATAATAATAAAACAACTGGAGCACCACTTGAACACCATTGCCATTGATAAATTCGCTATTAGTCAATTGCAAATGGAAGGGACCTTGGAGATCCAACCCCCTGCTCAGGCAGGAAACTCTATACCATTTCGGACAAATGGCTGTCAAGTCTCTTCTTAAAAGCTTCCAGTGTTGGAGCATTCACCGCTTCTGGAGGCAGGTTGTTCACTGGTTAATTGTTCCAAGTGTCAGGAAGTTTCTCCTTAGTTCTAAGTTGCTTCTCTCCTTGATTAGTTTCCATCCATTGCTTCTTGTCCTGCCTTCAGGTGCTGTGGAAAATAGCTTGACTCCCTCTTCTTTGTGGGAGCCCCTGAGATAGTGGAAGACTGCTATCATGTCCTCCCTTGTCCTTAAATAAACTCACCTTTTTTATAAAGCTGAGTAAGCTTTGAACTGCTTGAATCCACTTGAAGAATGTTTTTTTAGAGATTTGGATTGTATATATTCTAATTTATATGCTTAACCCATAGGACTAATTTTATTTTATTTATAAGAGTTGTGGGGACGTATAAAAGGAGGCCTGTGTGCCTTTACTCATTGTTGGAGTTTGAAAGAAGCACAATAAAGAGCTGTTCCAGAAACATGTATTCTTCATTCGCCATCGCTCCCAGGACTTAACACTGGTGACAAAGGTGGGATTTAACAAGGAAAGCTAGAAGGAAGCTTTAAGACTTACCCAAAAGAAGTCCTGGAAGGGAAAAGGCATTAAATTCAACAGCTATCCTGCCAATACAGTGTCGCTGGAGGGTGAGTTTGGCTGAGAGACCCTTTCCCTGCAGAAGCAAGTAGTGTAGCATGTACTACAATGGTGAAAATCGGCCACTTGTCAGAATTTGACGTCGCACACCCGGAACGATGGGAATCATACATTGCAAGAATAGAGAACTATTTTAGGGTTAATCAAGTTTGTGAAGATGGGCTGAAGGCTGCCACGTTGCTGTGTGTATGTGGCCAAGAGACTTTTGAAATTGCTAAAAACCTCATGGCTTCTGCTTCACTGGAAGGTGTAACGTACACAGACCTAAAGAAACTTCTAAAAGAACATTTTCAGCCCAAGCTGTCCGTCATTGCATGGAGGCACACGTTTGAACAACGAGATCAGAGAGCAGGAGAATCTGCTAAGGGCTTTATCGCAGCATTGAGGCGAGCAACTAGACTGTGTGAATTTAAAGATTTAGAGGAAAGACTGCGTGATTGTTTTGTGTGTGGACTGAGAAATAGAGACTTACAGCAAAAGATCTTCGCGAAAGAAGACATTTCATTCCAAGATGCTCTACGAGAAGTTACAGCAGAGGAAGCAACAGGCGGAGCAGTAAAAAACATGCGGCCCAACAGAAGCCATCCAGAGACTGTTGCTGTCCACCAGGAGAACATGCATGAAGATTCGGAAGAGGTTCCCGAAGATGAGGTGAATAAGCTTTACCAGGCAGCCGGAAGGAGACAGAGAGATTGCACAGAAAAGGCTTCAATAACTTCACAATGCTTCGGATGCAGAGGACGCTACAGAAGAGCAGACTGCCGGTTCCGGTTCGCCATTTGCAGGGCATGTGGAAGGCAAGGCCACATTGCAGCTGTATGTCTGAGTTGTCAGAAGGTACAACCTAAAGAAGAATTGCATCTGAAAGGTACCAAGGTCCCCAGCCAAAATAGGGTGGGTTTCTGCGCAATACGCAGAAGTATTCTGAGGACAGGCACACATAAACCCCTAAAAAAGAAGTTGTCCCTTAAAGTAAAGTTGCAAGGGGTTCCCTTATCCATGGAATTGGACACTGGTTCTGCTCTCTCCATTATTTCCCTCAACACATTCAGGAAGATTTGCAGCAGCAGTGGCCTTCAAGTGAAACTCAGGCCATCCACTGTGATACTTACAGACTTTCAGAATTCTAAGGTATGTGTTAAGGGGGAGGCCACCCTTAAGGTACAGTACAAGGATTTTGAGGGTCCTTTAGATATGTTGGTTGTTGGGGGTGAACGTGCAAGTCTTATTGGACTCAATTGGTTTGAGGCTCTGGAAATCCAGGTCACGGGGCTACACCATTTGCAAACGCCTAGCCTTGCAAAAGTCTGCAAGGAATTTGCAGATGTGTTTAGCTCTGAGTTTGGAACCTACAAGGGGCCTCCAGTTTCACTACGATTAGATCCATGCATAGCACCCATTGGGGTCAAGCCTAGGAGAGTTCCGTTTGCACTTAAAAACAAGATTGATGCTGGACAAATTGCTCCAGCAGGGTATTCTAGAGCCTGTAGATTCAAGTCCTTGGGAAACCCCCATAGTAACACCTTTAAAGGCTAATGGGGACATTAAAGGCTAATGGGGACATTACAAGCTAATGGGGACTACAAGTGCACACTAAACAAGGCACTACAGCAACATGCTTATCCAGTACCTGTAGTAAGTCACATTCTGGCTTCCCTAAAGGGGGGGCAGATTTTTGCGAAGCTTGACCTGGCACAGGCCTGTCAACAGTTGCCTGTTGATGAGGCAGCTGCTGAGGCTCAGACAATTGTGACTCATAGAGGAGCTTTTAAAGTGAAGAGATTGCAATTTGGGGTAAATGTAGCCCCTGGCATTTTCCAGAGTATTATGGAGAACATACTGAGAGGTATTCCAGGAGTCTGTCCATATTTTGATGATGTCCTCATTGCAGGAGAATCACCTGAAAACTTGGCTGAGAAATTAAGGGCTGTCTTGCTTCATTTTAGGGAAGCAGGTCTCAAATTAAAAAAGGACAAGTGTAAGAAAGGAGTCAATTCTACTGACTTTTGGGGATTCAGGATAGATGCTCAAGGTATCCACCCTTCTGAAGCTAAATTAAAGGCCATTCAGCAGGCCCCAAGCCCTAAGTCTAAAGGGGAACTACAAGCCTTTTGGGGGCTACTAAATTTTTACCATGCCTTTCTGCCAAACAAAGCTGCTATAGCTGAGCCATTGCACAGGCTCTTAGACAAACAAGCCTGTTGGCAGTGGACTAAGGTCCATGAAAAAAAGTTTCAATGAGGTTAAGGCCTTGCTTACTTCTAATGCTGTACTGGCTCACTTCAATGAGCAATTGCCTGTTTGCATTGCCTGCGATGCTTCTCCATATGGAGTGGGGGCAGTTCTTAGCCATCTGTTGGCTGATGGGACACAGATCCCTGTAGCATATTACTCCAGAATCTTGTCTTCTGCTGAGCGCAACTATGCTCAGATTGACAGGGAGGCGCTGGCTATTGTGGCTGGCATTAAGAAGTGTTAGAAGGGGTAATCTACTCAGAGCATCAGCATGACCCATTTCCTTTCCAGGCTTGTAAATTAAAGAGTAGTCATATGCTGACAGGAAAATGGACCAACGCAGCATACGAGGAGCCTGATCCTGCTCCAGCCATTAATATTCTGTCCATTCAAGAGCTGCCTGAGTCTCCCCTCAATGCAAGGGATGTGGCTGCTGAAACTGCCACGGACCACACGCTCACACGCGTTCTGTCACGCGTGGCTGACAGATGTCCTGATACTGAGTTTCAGAGTTTCTGGCAAAGAAGACATGAGTTGTCCAGTTTTAAGGGTTGTCTGCTATGGGGAAGTAGGGTAGTAATCCCTACCTCACTGAGGACTAGAATGCTGCATTCTTTACATGAGGGACACTCTGGCATAGTCAGGATGAAGGTGCTTGCGCACAGCCTTTTGTGGTGGCCTGGCCTCGATAAAACCATTGAGGCTCAAGTGCATGAGTGCCATGTGTGCCAACAGTCCCAGCCTGAAATGCCTCAGGCCCCAGTTCATAGATGGGAGGAAACTCACACCTCATGGTCCAGGGTACATATAGATTACGCTGGGCCCTTTTAGGGGCAATTCTTCTTGGTTGTTGTTGATAGCCATTCTAAGTGGCTAGAGGTTGTTCCTGTGTCCTCCACTACTGCTGCCAAGACTATCCAGGTGCTGAGAAATATTTTTGCAACTCATGGCCTTCCAGATGTTCTCGTTTCAGACAATGGTCCTCAATTCACCTCTTCTGAGTTCCAGGTTTTCCTCCAGGCCAACATGATCCGCCATGCAACGTCTGCTCCTTTATTTATTTTATTTATTTATTTAATTTTATTTATATGCCGCCCAATCCCAAAGGACTCAGGGTGGCGTACAAAGTTAAAACAATCATCTAAGAATAAAACAATAAAA